TACAATTGGATAAAATGTAAAGTGCAATAATTTGATTGATAATGAATATAAATAAGTTGCGTATCACAAAATATAATAAAGATTTAAAGTAGAAATTTACAGAGATATTTTGTATAAAAAAATATGAAATGAGTTTAATAGATTAATTCTAATGACTATTATTTCTTTCTTATCTATATTACAATCTTTTGTATGCTTTGAAAAATAATATAGAAAATTTATCTGTTGAGGGAACAAACAATCAGTTCTAAATTAGTTAAGCACGATCACGGACAAATATCGAAAAGTCTACGTTAATAGGAGTCATCTGTGGATACCTGCGAATTTATTTGGAATCTCTAATTGCAGATCTGTAATTCATATTCCTGATGGTATGGTTCAATTTTAATTGATCAAAGTAACCTCAATCAAAATTACTGATATGAACGATCATTGGAAACGATCCGTCGCGACATGTTGCGTCCCTACGTCACTGCACTTGGTCAATGCATCAATCCGGCCTGCATCTGTATGTATTTACGCTACGATGAGAGGGGCGGAGGGGGGCGAACTGGGGAGGAAAACCCCTATGTGACATCATCCCCCACGCTGGCGCGCGCCCGCTTCGTTTCGCTGGCTGACTTCTGTCGCCTAACTCCAAAACACCCCTGGACCCTGCCACCTCCCTTTACCTTTAATCTTTATCAATCCATCCAGCCGAGTCGCCGAATCGAACGCACGAACGTGCACGAGACGAGACGCACGGGATGCGAACGCCACCGCGCATTATTCACGGCCGATAGCGCCTTCACCCTCGGCCCGTCCATCTCTTTCACCGAGTTTCACCCTCTCTTCATCCTCATCCTGTTTCGTGTGCCCTTCGTAGCCTCGAACTCTCAAAACAGTTCGTCTTTCGACAAATGAAAATGGATAAATTGCTAATTGTGACGCGGATCACAACTTTCTTTATTTTTACTGTTTATCATTTTATCATTTCTTCATCGATTTGAATATTAAAATCATTTCCTAATAATATATCAACGTTAACATTAGCAATATTAATAATAACAACATTTTTTGGTCTTACAAATACCTTCACTTTTCCTAGTTAATACCTGCGTTATTATTATCGCACTTTAATAGCATTTTATCAATTACATTGCATAATATTACATATAATATGACTGTTTATCAATTGCTCTCCTTATGCACATTATATTTAAAGACGAGTTCCTCAAAAATTAATCTAAAAATTTATCTAATTGATATGTGATGTATACAGGATGCCTTAGAGGCCAACCGTATCACTCATTAATATCAACAACTCAGCTGCGAGTTGTTTTATCTTAATATCAGCATAAAAGAATAGATTTGCAAATAATGTAAAATATACAAAGTGCCAAACTAACCCGTTAGCAGATTTCTGAGGTTTTTGATATAATAAGAATATAAAAATAAATATGCGATACATCTAAATAAATTTTTCAACATTTTGACTAATAAAAATTTCAAATACTTTCCATTTAAAAACTAGTAGCCTCGACATTTTGGTATAGAGTTTTGTCGCCAACTGATCTCAGGAATCTGCTATTAATGGATAATACAATTGGTTTGGGATGTCCACTATAAGAATCATAAAATAACCTTTATTATGTAAAATAAGATCAATTGCAAAAAATGCTCTAATGTCACGATTATAAAAATTATATTTATATTACGCTACAATTTATTAAATTGGAAAGAGACCAGCCGAAAGTAAATGTGTAGTTTGGTATTATAAAATAAAGATTTATGAGCCTTTCTTTTTTGTAGAAGCGATAGTTACTTACAATTAGTATCTTGTGGCACATTGATACGCTTTAACAATTCAAGCAGTTTAGAAGATAATTCCTAAAATGTTTAAACGTACTGCACAAAAGTGCTGAATTTGATTTAAGGTTTGTAAAGACACTGACTATGGTTTACACGGACACTAATGTTTAGGAATATTTAGATTATAACTACTACTAATGTAAAATATCCATAAAGTGTAGACACTATTCGTCGGTATTATAATTTCAAATCGGCGTAGTGTTATTTACTTGACATTTTACGGTAATGTTGTAACTACGGATGTTTCTAAACCAGTGCCCGCGTAAACTGATGTAGTGCACACTATAAAAAATTACTGACTGACAATTCAGTCGGGAGCCCGATAGGAAACATCGCATCACTGATGTATACTTTAAACCAAAATATATTGTTAGTATTTTTAAAAAACCACACCTATCTGAACTTGTTTTTCATTGGTATACATATATTTCATTAAAAAACACAAACACCACATGATCATAAAACTTTTCGGATGTAAGACTGATGACAGAGAACGAGATAGAAGTCGTAGTCGTGGATGCCACAAAAAGTTATTGTGTGGATACGTTTCACGACTTACGTTTTTCTCTGCCTTACCATACGTCCACGACTACGACTTACATCTCGTTTTCTGCCATCAGCCTAACTAATATTCCGTAATGGATTCCATGACGCGACGTCAGTTGAGACTGCTTCGATTGCATTTGTTACATTGCTACTGCGTCTTCGCTATTGCGCGACATCCACGCATCGGGTTATAAAACCATAGCATGTCTGAAATTTTAGACAGATGCTGCTTTCAAATATGTTGTCTAATTTTTTGGACACCAATTCTAAATATTTCGGACAGACGCGCCACTATTCTGAACTTGCAGAGAAACTACTCTGATAATTAAGACAGATTGTCTGAAATTACTTTCAGGCAACCTGATCTGAAAATTCAGACAAAAATGTGTTTGAATTTTTAGGCAATTTTTTACAGTGCACATAAAAAGTAGTGCATATAAAAAGTAAAAATGTTGAGCGTTTTTCTCGACCATTTTTTGTAAAATTGTTTATATTTTGTGATGGATTGTCATTTTACAGGCACCCTGTACGATATCCTAAACTTAGGGTGACTATTTTCAACTTAATGATTAACTTTAATCAACGATTCGAACTTGTCGACAAAATGGCAAACATGAATAAAATATCATCAAAAATTTTTTTCCTTTAATGATATTTTATTCCTCATATTAGTAATTCGACAAATTTGAATCGTCCATTGAAATTAATCGATATGATTGGAAATAGTAACTGTTAATCCAATATTTTTTTAACTACGTAGTCTTGGAATAAAATTGATACATTTCAGAGGGAGTTAATTAAAAACGCCGCTATTTAAAATAAGCATTTCTCTCGTAATTCATTCATGTTATAGAATTCAACAAATGACGTATGAAACATTTTAATGAATTGGGTTACGTACCTTAACCGTAACATAACAAATACCCGTGCATAAGGGTGCAGTCCCATTGCAGTGTAGCCAGATTTGGCCCGATTTTTCGCGCATGCGCGACGCGGCAAATGCAGTAAAGTGTTTCAGTCTAGTAAAAAAGTATACCATATGGTAC